ACGGTTCAAGTATTAGTTATAGATTCCATCCATCCATCCATCCATCCATCCATCCATCTATCAATCTATCTACCTGGTAGCAGACGATACAGGTATTCTCACACGCCCCTGAGACACTTCCCGCCCCATCATGAAAGTGACCATAATCAGTATAGTATTCCCCCAAGAAAGTAGTTATTTAGAGTATATATAACATTACCCACAATGCCCTCCAATAAACAACAAACAAGAGACTGACGGGAGGAGCAGGGGTATGGCTAGACTGTCACAGAAGTAAAGTGATAAAGATTCTTCAAGAGTATTAGAGATTAAGAGTAAGCGGGGGGCGAGGCTTCTTTTTTACTCACAATGCCCAGGAGACCAAAGACAGAGTGGTTAACTGCATGTAAACGTCCGAATTGATGAGAAGTTAGATTAAAGTAAAATAAATAAATAAATACATAAATAAAAGAGAACTGATAGAAAATAACGAAGGGGATATTATTATTATTATTCTTTTTAGTGGAAAGTTAAAAGATTAAAATACTGGAGATGAAGCGAAAGACAACAATAACAACAACAACAATATGTTTTAAAAGGTCCGGCAACTCTTGACTTTCATCACCCCCCCTTTACCCTCCCCCTCTCCTCACCCCTTTGCCCCTCTTTTCCCTCACCGCACCTCCTCACCCCCCCCAAACCATCTACGTCTCGACCTCAGTATGACGCAAAGATCACGTGATTTGCCCCATGACGTCATACTGAGAATGGAGGATGAGAGACAGGGAGGGTGGAGGGGGGGTGGAGGGGGGAGGAGGAGGGGGTGGAGGGGGGAGGTGAGGGGTGGAGGGGTGGGAGGAGGGGGAGGAGGAGGGGAGGGATAAGACGACGAGGTCGATGTCGGAAAATTTGATTTCGGGAAGAGTGATAATGATGACATGAGGAGGAGAGAGAGAGGAGGAGGAGGAGGAGAGGAGGAGGAGGAGGAGGAGGGAATAGGAGAGAGAGAGTGAGCTAAATCTGGATTGTAGGAAGGAAGGAAGGAAGGCTGATCAGATTCAAAGGAGGAGGAGGGACAAAATCGGAGGAGGAAAGGAGAGAGAGAGAGAGAGAGAGAGAGAGAGAGAGAGAGAGAGAGAGAGAGAGAGAGAGAGAGAGAGAGAGAGAGAGAGAGAGAGGTAGGATGAGAATCAAAGAGGAAGTGCGGAGGGAGGGAGGGAGTATTGGTGCTGAAGGACAGAAGGAAGAGGGGGAGGGAGAGGTAATTGAGGAGAAGAGAAGGAGGAAATAGGGAAGAAAAGAAGATATATTGAAGTAGAGAAAGGGAAGAGGATATATGAGGAAGGGAAGAGAGAGAGAGAGAGAGAGAGAGAGAGAGAGAGAGAGAGAGAGAGAGAGAGAGAGAGAGAGAGAGAGAGAGAGAGAGAGAGAGATGTGATAAAGTACATGAACCTTGACTCATTAGTGGACGACAGCTGATAGTGGCCATGATGATGATGATGATGATGATAATGACTGATGACAACGATGATGATGGTAATAAATGATAATGATAATGACTGATGGTAATGATGATGGTAATGATGATTGATGGTAATGATGGTATTACGTGATAATGATGATGACGCAAGGTAATAATAATGATGACTGATGGTGTTGATAGTCATGATGGTAATAACAATAATAATAATAATAATAATAATAAAAAAAATAATAATAACAACATTTAACTCAGAATAAATAATCCCTAATTTTATTGCTATCAGTGTAAATCTCTCTCTCTCTCTCTCTCTCTCTCTCTCTCTCTCTCTTTCCCCTTAGCCATCACCAATACGAAAATGAAATAACACATTCTCTTTCCTCCTCCCAGTAACCAATGGAGGCCGTCAGGTGGAGGAAAATATGCTGCAGTGCTTCTCTAGAGGACAATGACTCGAGTCACCGTAAGGAAAATGCTCAATGGCCATTTTCTTTCCTCCCTCCCCCTTTTTTTTCCCCTTTACGTGTGTGTTTGTGTCTCTTGTTGTTGCTATTTTGGGGCTACGTCAGTCAACTTCAAGTGTGCCTTATATAATTCGATTTGACTGGGTGGGTGGGTGGGGTGTGGTGGTGGGTGGGTGGGTGGGTGTGGTGGGTGACTGGGTGGGTGTGGGTGATTGGGCGATTGACTGAAGAATAACTGATTGATTGGGTGACTGACTGACTGACTGACACTTTTATCTTTGCTAACAATAATGTTTTATTTCCTTGCATCTATAAGACTTCCCATAACTGAAGAAGAAAAAATAAATAAATAAAAATAAACGAATAAATTAATATCTCAATAACAATAAATAAATAAATAAAAATAAATAAACAAATAAATTAATATCTATATAAAATAAATCCCCTAATTAATGTTCTAATAATAAAATAAATCAAAGAAAACGATAATAAATTGGTTGAGACAATAGAAGATGGGAAGCCAGAGGTAAGATAATTCACTTTGTTGTTGTAAAGGGAAGTAATGGCGGCGTGCGAGGGTTGCCTACATTTTTCTCTCGCCCACCTCCTCTTCTCCTCCTCCTTTTCCTCCTCTTTACAGTGTTGCCACGTTTCAATAGATATCTAGTTGGGGGAAGGGAGGAGGTGGAAAGGGAGGGGGAGGAGGGAGGAGGGAGAGGAAGAACAGAGGAGGGAAGGAGGAGGAGGGAGGAAGGAGGAAAGGAGGAAAGGGGAGGAGAAGGAGGGAGGGAGGAGGAAGGAGGAAGGGGAGGAGAAGGAGGGAGGGAGGAGGAAGGAGGAGGAAGCAAGGGGGAGAAAGGGATAGGGAGGAGGAATGAGAGGAGGGGGAGGAATGGGAGAGGGAGGGAGAGGAAGGGGAGAGAGAGGAGGAAGGGGAGAGGGAGGGGAACCAAGGGGAAGGGGAGAGGGAGGAGGAAGGGAGGTTAAGTCAATTCTGGAGGAGGGTCACGTTATTCGGTGGGTGGATTTTCTTCTCGTCATTGTTGTTGTCTTTGTGTATTGGTTCTGTGTTCTGTTTTTGTTTGTTTGTTTTGCTGTCGTTGTTCTGATTTGTTTGTTTGTTTGTTGTTGTCATGTTGTTATTGTTGTTTCCACCCTTCCCCAACACACTGATCGTCATCTACCTTCATCTGGTTTACCTTACCTTACCTTACCTTACCTTACCTTACCTATCACAATCTCCCTCACATCCCTCTTTTCCCTAAACCATCAATGTGTCTTTCCCATTTCCTCACTAATTCTACACTTCCCTTCTCCCATCATCTTCCTCCCACCCCCCGCCCCCCCCTCACCTCGATTCCCTCCTCCCCTCTTCCCACCCCTCCCCAACACAAGGGTCAGTAAAACTTATACGGTCTCAATGCAAAAGGTGAGAGTGTGAGGAAAATGCCTGGAGATGGTGGCAGGTGATGCAAGCTGGGCTGGTCTGAGTCATTATCACCACCAGAGAACCCGCCTGAGGGAGGGGATGAAGGTGAGGTATCAGGAGAGAGTGATATACTGCTCCTCTTTTAGCCTCCCTACATCGACCGAGTTCCTGGTGTCATAAATGGTCTGAAAGAGGGACGATCGTAATCATTTTCAGCACCACAGTACCTGCCTGAAGGAGGGACTGAAGGAGAAGCACCAAGTTACACCATGTTATAGTCACCAGTAGTAAAAACAAAGAGTCCTCGAAGTCAATTGCCACCATCGTATGACCTACCTGAAGAAGAAGCGATGTTGTGTATAGTCGAAGGAAGAGCGTCGTACTGAAACCGAAGGAAAACCCGACGTAGGTGGACGCTGAAGGAGGCGTCTTAGACAGTTCCTTTTCCTAACCACTTATCGGAAATCTCCCAGAGCAAGAGACTTTACGGGAACAAACAAGTCAGCATAAAGGAGGACATTGGACAAGTTATTTCTAGCATAAAAGGTGGGGGAAGTTTTGAGTGTGTACGTGATAGGGAGGAGGAGATGGAGGTGGAGGAGGAAGAGGAAGAGTGGAGGAGGAGGAGGAGGAAGAGGAGAAGGAGGATGAGGAAAAGAAGAAAAAGAAGAAAGAGGAGGAGGAGGAACAGAAGAAGGAAGAAGAGGAGGAGGAGGGGGAGGATAAAATTAGTGGAGGTCAGCAGAATGAGATAGGGTGGGAGGGCGGCCAAAAGATATTCAGAAGGTCGTGAGAGACGTTGATGAACAATGGGTGTTGGAGAAGACACTGTTGGTGGGTGTTGGAGAAGACACTGTTGGTGGGTGTTGGAGAAGACACTGTTGGTGGGTGTTGGAGAAGACACTGTTGGTGGGTGTTGGAGAAGACACTGTTGGTGGGTGTTGGAGAAGACACTGTTGGTGGGTGTTGGAGAAGACACTGTAGGTGGGAGTTGGAGAAGAGACTACGAAACTACGAAATAAAGATGGCGACTTTATATAAAGTGTCGACATTGCACTATAAGACTCCAGTACAACTAGATACCTCCACTTATCTCCAGTTACGAGAATAAATTAAGCTAAGAATCTTTGAGAATCCGGAGCCCTGGACAGAACACTTCCTCTGTCCTCGATAATTCTAGTTAATACACCGAAACTTACTTTACGGTGTCCGCTCCCGTGCTATACTGGGGCTCTACGTTACGGCTCCTCCCTGCTCTGCATTACTAAGGGGAGGGACTGGCTATGTAGGGGAAGCATAGAGACAGAGAGAGATGCTATACACTGATATGTATAGTGTCATTTAGTATACAGTTTTCTGGTAGACATTATCAGGGTTTGTCGTGTATAGCAGCCAGACAGCGAGACTTTACGTCAGGTGAAATATTGTGACAACCACACACACATATACTGTATGTATACACGTAATGATACAATTCTATACAGCCACACAACTACACACACACACACACACACACACACACACACACACACACACACACACACACACACACACACACACACACACACACACACACACACACACACACACACACACACACACACACACACACACACACACACACACCATTAAGGTATCAGGTACTTACCTAGGGCTACGGGGATGCAAATGTACCGTAGAAAATCTAATGGGTGTTTCTCTATGGGGATCGCGACTGTCTTATCTGTGGGGAGAGAGAGGGAGAGAGATAAGGGGTTAGTCCATTTACCATAGTATCTGGGGTGACGGGGTTATAGGGGGTGATGGCAATACCTGGAGAAGAGATATTTAAGAATTATTTCACAAGGTATTAAATATTTTTATATGATCGAAAGAGATGAAAATACGAGAAAAATATAAATAAATAATGAGATTGAACAGAGCATACGTGAGGATGTTGATGTTAGTAAAAAAAAATAGAGAAAAAAGAAAAAAAAAACATTTATACTAACGATCCCTGGTGTGTTTAAAGTGTGGAAAGACAGCAGAAAGTATTCATACGGAAAATAACCATCATAGTGCGGAACAGTAGAAATATAAATCACTACAAAGGATAAAAGAAACAATGAAGGAGAAAAGCAAAGACTGAAAACAAACAGTAATGGACAGGACACGAAAACATTTATACCAACGACCCCTGTCAGCTGTCATAAAGAGCATGAAAATAACAAAAGACGGTCGGAAAATCGCAGCAGGTAATAAAGTAGAATATATTGGACATTAACACCCACAGACTGCCGACACACCTTCCCAATCATATAATTACGACGGCTGGCGACAGAAAGGAAGGTTTCTCTTCCCTTTCACTTCGGGGTGTTAAAGTGGCCAAGCCAGCAGCTGGTCCGGAAGCGTCCAATTTGTGACCACGTTCGGAACTTCCTAACATTTAGTCCAAGATTCAGATTCTTAGGAACCCGTAAGTTAAATTTTATTTTCAAACTCCGAATAAGACAGCGCTTCTGGTAACACTATTGTGTATAAATTATAGTTACGACACCATAACTGACTCATCTGTGTGTTGGAGAACTTCTTTCGCTTACAATTGGTGGAAACATTTAACGTATTAACCTATAAAACTTTGGGAATTCATCTTTGTATCGTAGCTTATAGGAACTAATTAAATGCATATTACAAAAATCGCCAAGAGAATATTCTTACATAAGAACCTTTGATATAATCGTATTGTGTTGCAGGTGAGTCAGTGAGATAGTCATACGTCCTCAAGGCAGGGAAATATTTTCACGTATGATCCTTTAAGAATTCATGTCAAGAAATGTTGGTGCGGAGGAAATTTAACAGCGAAATTAAATCCCCTTACATTTCCGAGTCTTTTTCTGTCAGTAAGCTGGTGGAGCCAGCCAAGGCCGCGCGCTGCCCTATATACAGTATATATATTCCTGAAAATGTCTTTTAAATTCACCGTGAGCGTGCGAGGAGGATCCTGTGTTTGTGTTCTCCGGCGGGTCATCACAAACCTGCTCGCTCCTACATAGAAAGTTTCTTGTTTGAGAAGTGTTCCTCCTGCCTCATAACGCCTTCAGGTATAGTCGAGTAATACTCGAATTTCATCTCCATTTCTCCCGCCATCTTTGTCCTCCAGCTGAAGAGGACGAGTCAGGTGCTTTACTTCAATTAGCTGGAAACTCAACGAGGGACATCTTGGGATTCATGTTTGTGTTGAAGGTTAAGAAGACAACCTCAACATATGGATCTATGGGAGTCCATCTTTGTATCGTAGATTATAACAGCGTGTCGCGCCAGATTTTAAATAGCTATTAATGAACAAATATAACATACACACTTCCGAGAATCCTAACTCCGGTGCAACCTATCAGTAGTAGAGCCTCGCCCAGCACTCTCAATCTTGATTACTATCTAAAATATCTTAAACGAGGCCAATAATGTAGGTGGGCCTGTAATATTGGCTCGGTTGTCTATATTTTATGTTTATCTGGCGAGGTATACGAGCTGTGGATCGTCTGGCGGCTGAGGGGAGATGTGTGGACGCCTGGGAGATGTGGTTTATAATTCAGTGGGATAAAGTTACCAAAGAGACGCCTGTGACTCGGTTTATAATTCAGTGGGATAAAGTTACCAAAGAGACGCCTGTGACTCGGCTTATAATTCAGTGGGATAAAGTTACCAAAGAGACGCCTGTAACTCGGCTTATAATTCAGTGGGATAAAGTTACAACAAAATAGGCCTATAGAGTACGATACATGAGGATAAAATTATAAAAGAATAAACATCTGGATAAAGTTGAAAGATAATAACGTAAACCTGGATAAAGTTAAATAAAGGAAAAGACCAGAATATAAACCTTGATAAAGCTAATAAGATAGAGAGAGATATTAATACATGGATAAAGTTACAAAGATAATATGATAAAGAAAAGATAAAGACAAAGAATAAGATTAAAACTGGAAACATGAAGACTACGAACACACACACACACACACACACACACACACACACACACACACACACACACACACACACACACACACACAACTCCTGGATAAAGATCACAAGAAACTATACAATGTTCCTTATATTCCGGATGGCCAAGCGAGGTGTTTCCTGCACCGGGCTGTGTTAAAGAACTCCAAGCCGCCAGAGTTCTCTTTTATTCGTAGATGAGAGAGAGGGAAGAGAACGCGTAGAGTTATTTTAAAGAGAGCGTGTGTAGTTATGATAAAGAGAACGCGTCTAGTTCAGGTACAATGTCACTTTAATATTGGCACCGTTTTGGTCCCCATCGGTGTCGTGGCACTGAGCCAGTTAGATGCGTTCTCAAAACTCTTAAGTTAGGAGAGACAATTAAACGAACGAGGAATCTTAAAAGACAAATCCAAGACCTCAGAGAAAAGTCGAATGATGGCGTAAATTTCATGTACAAATATTTGAGATGTCGGAGTCAAGTTTTATCCCTTTTGAAAATCCCAAGTCGGGTGTCAGCAAATCTTCAGCTCAGAAGAAAATTTAACACGGCGGTCTTTATGAATGTGATCCTGTGCCTGAATCCATAAAAATCGGGATCTTTGAGTATTTGGATCCTCCTTTAAATCCTTCAAAATTCGAGACCTAACCTAACCTGACTGCAGTAAATTTCGTTAAGAGTGAAAGTTCTCGTAAGAGTTTCTCAGACCCTCGAGGGAAGTCATGTGGCCTCTGCAGCTCTGGCCAGAATGCGGTGGAGTTAGTTGTTTTGTTTGGGTAGGTTTGTGTACGGGCCAGGTGGGGGGAGTCTTCTGCACCACCACAACCACCACCACCTATTACTATCATCACCTACCACCCCTTACCCCCTCACCTACCACCACTTACCAACCATCTCCCCCATCACAACCACCATCTACCAACATCCACCTCCCCATCATCCCCTATCACCATCTACTACCACTTTCTTACCAATAACCACTACCTACCACCATTACCACCATCACCACCCACCACCACCACCACCACTACCACCACTTTCTTCTGGGTCCGGTTGTGCTGACTGGTAACCGAAACACAAAACGCTACCCGAACTTGGTGCTGTCAACGGGATTATTTTTTATTTTTTATTATTAAGTCAACTCGACCTGGAAAAATCTGTATGAGATCAACCAGGATGTCAGGGGGGGAGGAAGGAGAGAGGGGGAGGAGGAGGGAAATAAAATGAAGAAGAAAGAGGGAGGAGAGGAGACAAAGGATGGATAAGGAAAATAATAGAAGAAAGTGGGAGGGAGAGGGAGGAAGAATGGAGAGGAAGAAGGAAAGAAGAAGAAGTATGGAAGGGTAGGAAATAACGAAGAGAAAGAGGGAGAGGAGAATGGAGAAAGAAGAATAAAGAAGAAAGGAAGGGAGGAAGGAAGGAAGGAAGGAAGGAAGAAGGAAAGGGAACACAGGAGAAAAAGGGAGAGAAGGAGGAGAGGAAAGAGAGGAAGGCAGGGAAGCAGGGGGGTAACAGAGGGAAGAACGAGAGAGAGAGAGAGAAATAGTGTGAGGGAGAAGAGGGGTGAGAGAGAAGAAGAAGGGATGAGAGAAAGAGAAGCAAGGGAAGGAGAAAAAGGGAGGAGGAGGAGAAAGAGGAGGGAGGAGGAGGAGGAGGAGGAGGAGGAGGAGGAGGAGGAGGAGGAGGAGGAGGAGGAGGAGGAGGAGGAGGAGGACAAAAGGGTGATAGGTAAAAAGAAGGAAATAAGGGAGGAATAAGATTAAAGGTGAGAGAACAGAGAAGAAACTATGATATGAAAGGAAGGTGAAGGAACAGGTGAGAAATGGCGAAGAGAAGAAGGGGGACAGAATAAAGAAGAAGCATAGAGGAATAAGAGAAGAGGAAGGTGGGAAAGGAGGGAAAGTGAAAGCGGTAAAAGAGGATTAGGGATGGATTATAGGGGTAAGGGAAGGAAGAGGAAGCTTCTGTGGTGAGGGGTGAGGAGGGATTGGGGAAGTGAGGGGGGGGGAGAGGCAGAGAATCCCCGTGGGCGCGAACTTCCTGAACTTCCTCACCCCTCACCCCCCTCCCTCACCCCTCACCCCCCCCTCCCTCCCCCTCAATAGTGTCTCGGCCACCTCTCATAGGCCGGATGGGGGAGGGAAGGGGACGAGCTCTTTCTGTCTCTCTAACAGGCAGTTTATAAGGCACAGTCTCTCTCTCTCTCTCTCTCTCTCTCTCTCTCTCTCAAGCCGGATAGGGAATAATCTCTCTCTAATATAACCGGATAGAAGACGGTATCTATCTTTCCCTCTAACTGACCGGATAGGAGACGTACCATCCCTCTCTCATATGGAGTTGTTTTGACGTTGGCCAGATGGTCTTGAGCCACCCCTTCCTCACCTCACCTCACCTCACCTACCCTAACCTAACCTCAACTGGATATGTTCCCTTTATCAACACTTCCGGAGAAAAAAATTATATCCAACGAATCTTTAAGAATATGGAGGGTTAAGTTTCTGCGCTCTCTCTCTCGCTCTTAAACTCTCTTTCTCTCTCTCTCTCTCCCATAATCCTTCTCTCACCCTTTACTATCTCCCCTTATCCATCACCCCCTTAGCTCCCACACCCCTTACACAGGATGACACAGTGATTAATGGTGAAAAGATACAACGTGACGCGGGCATTAGTTCCGTGTTCACTCATCAGATGGTGTTGTGGTGAGTTGGCATCGTCTAAGCTGGTCCCCTGTTGTTATACGTACA